AAATAAGAGGCATAAAGTGCAGCTGGCAGGCAGATGAGACTTCCTGTTGACTCCTTGTTTCTGTGCACTAAATGTGTTTTATAGGTGGTCAGGCCATTAAGCTGATCATGGAGTATCTACCCCAGGGCAGCTTAAAGGACTATCTACCCAGAAACAAAAGGAACATCAACCTCAACATCCTGCTGAGCTACTGTATCCAGATATGTGAGGTAAAACACATTTTCTTTGAGCCTTTGTTGGACTGTTTCTACGGTTTTTTTTTGTTTGTTTCTGAGCTTATTTTTTTATTTTTTATTTTTATGTATATTAATTTCAGGGCATGGACTATTTGGGATCTTGTAAATTCATCCACCGTGATCTGGCCGCCCGAAACGTCCTGGTGGAAAACGAGACGACGGTGAAGATCGGGGATTTTGGTCTSACGAAGAGCATCAAAGAGAACGAGGGATATTACACGGTGAAGGACGAGAATGAAAGCCCAGTTTTCTGGTGAGGGAGGCGGGACCGATGGCGACAAACTGCAGACTGAGCGGACGTGTGGGTCGTTCACCAGCCGACTCTTTGTGTTTCAGGTACGCTCCGGAGTGTCTGACCTCCTGTAAGTTCTACCTGGCTTCAGACGTTTGGTCGTTTGGGGTGACGATGTAYGAAATCATCACCTACTGTGACTCCACCAAGAGCCCCATGACGGTCAGTGTGCACTCCTCCAATCTTACCACATTTTAATCTCATCCTGGTATATTTTTAGGATTAGATTATGTTTCTTTGTTCACTTTCACTCAGACATCTGAATTTCCCTTGGTCTGTTCGTGGCAGATGGTGTGGGTTGTTAGCTGAAGAAGCAGATGACACATTTTGTTAGGAGCGTTCCAAACATTAGACTGAGCCYGCGCTGCTAGCTTAGTTCATTATGAAGATGTTGATTTACATCTTTTTAATTGATTCATGAGTAATAAGGACCTCTGCAGCGAGGCTCCAACTTAATTATAGCATGGATGAATAAATTATTGGGTGTGCCATCAGAACCAAACTGTGGGAGAGTTTTTATATTTTTTTATGTTTGGTTGCATTTGTACGACAGATGAACACTGAAGAGAAACAAGAAGCTGGCAGATGGTAGACCAGTAAAAATCTCATCATGGTTCGTTCTCCAAAAGTGATCCTTAAAAAATAAATAAATAAAATTAAAAAAATAATAATCACTGGACTTCACCAGTTGTCGTTACATCAACCCCAGCGGATGGTTACCTGTACAC